GAAATCTCTTGCAGGAAGATTGGTAAGTTCACTTTCTTTTGGCCCTTTTTCTTGTTTGTGGGATTTTGGTTTGAACCAGGTTCCTCTGACTTCATATTTGTATGTGGCGCCCTCTGGTGTCCAGAAGCTCTACTCTCTGGAGCTGCTCAGCCCCTGGAGCAATGTCAGAGGTCAAAGGAGAGCAGCACTGGTGCCCTGGGGGGAGGTAAGAGCTGTGTCTTGCTTGCCGGCTGCTGTGCCCATCTCCACTGAGAGAACCAGTGGGCATGGTGCACAGGTGTAAGCCTCTGTGCTTTGCATGTGTAGCTGCCATAGATGGGGCCTCCCTCTGGATGACCTGACACCAATGCAGGGGCTGCCAGTTTGAGAGCCAATGCCGGCCAGGAGGAAGCACCACAGGTTATGTATTACAGTGGGGGGCTTTGGAGCTGCATAGCCAGCCAGGGGGATGGAGCGCTTGAAGTTCCTGAATGTTCCCAACCTGCTGGGCAGAGTGCACCTTGACAATTTTGTCCACCTGTCTTTTCTCCTGAGTAGGAAGCTCTGTGCAATCCTTGCCTCTTTAGCAGCTCTCTCACTGTTAGGAAGTCTCTGACTGCCTGTCTTTCTTTGGCCCAGAGCAGCCAGATGTGGATCTGTGTTTTCCACAAGCAGCTGGAATCTGTCTCTCCAAGTATTCCACCTCTCTGAGCTTTCCAACCCCAGTAATCTCAAGCACCATGCAATGTAGGTTCATACTCTCAGAGGAGAGTTCCAGAGCTGGGTGGTCAGCAGTCTTGGCTTCTACCCTGTCCCCGCTCCATTTCTGTTCCTCCTGCCAGGGACCTGGGGTGGGGGAATGGCTTCAGTCCCACCGGTTCACGGCTTTGGTAATTACCCTGTTCCATGAGTTCTTTTCTCCAGGTTTATGCAGTATGGCACAGCCTTCTTTCCTGTTGCTCCTTTAGGAGGAGTTGTATTAACTATATTTTCATATTATATGTGGTTTTGGGAGAAGGCTTCTGTCTCACCTCTCATCTTTGTTAACTGGAGTAGCTTTTGTGTGTATCCTTAAATGATGTGGTTTAAGTATTTTAATAAATAAATCATCTGGGATGACTACTACCATTTCATCCAGTTAGTTCTTAAATGTCTTTTGCTTACCACAAATAAAATTACAACACAGAAATGCTCCAAAAGAAATGTTTGTGTTCACTTGAAAAATAAAATACCAACTCTGCTTTTTTGTTAACGTTCATTTTATAAAATACCTTAAAAGAACAGATAAAGTACTTGAGTTTACATAACCAGAATTGAAAAAGGATGAATAAAATATAAATTAATTGAACACATAACTATTTTGCCACATCAGACAAGTTTAAAAAAGACATTAAAAAAATAAAATGGTAATTGGGAAAAAAAACATAAGAACCTTCACTCAATTGCTTAAACTTTTCCTAGAAGCACTAAAATTCCAGGTCAACAGGCAGTACCTGTATTATTGAAAATATACTGTAATTTGCTTCTAAATCCGTCATCTTAAGAGAACAAAATAAAATTGTAACCAGGCTAGATAATTCAGTGCAAATTAAAACTTCAAGTTGCAATCTGAGAGGAAAAATAATGTCCAAACTGTAGGAAATGCTTCTGGAACTGAAAAAGAAAAATTCACATTATGAAGAAATATTTGCAAGTCTTCTTAGGTGTGAAATACTGAGTTAACAAATGGGCCCTCTGACCTTGAATTAGGGCTCTGTTATTAAGACTATTTCCAATGTGTGCAAGGGGAAATGGACAAGAAGGGCTAAAGGTCTGTGGAAGAAAGTTCAAGGTAAACATAACTACTGCTCTGGTTCAAGTCCAGAAAATCTGGCCAGGATATTATAGACATCGAGGGAGGAATAAAGACTATGCAGGTTAAATTTACTGGACTGTCATTGAGGATACATACTTATACCCCCACAACATGTTGGGGGAGACAGGGAGAGCAGGTTAATGTTGGTCATGATTTGTTTGAATTATATGGATTGTATGGTGTACAGGCTTAATAATCGTATTACCAAGTCTTGAGAAGTGGAAAGAATGTTTTACTTTTCAGATCACAGTGAAAGTCTGGAGCATTTCCAACCATTAATGGGTAGTAACTTTGATAAAAAAAAGTGTTTTGGTTTATCTCCTCAAAAAATGAGTTTGGTCTGTCATAGGTAATAGGTAGCAAGGGGTTTTTCATGACAACGTTGATAACAAGATTCCCACATTCCATTCTATTCTGTAAGTTTTTCATTCTTTTTCATGATAAAACTAATGGTTGCTGTTAAGTACTGGATGCACAGATTTCAGTGGAGGCTAGTAAATTTTCTTTGCAAAACAGATTTTAAGAAAAGTTCAGGTCTAAATTTATCATTACCAATCTTTTCTTTTTCTAATTCTCACTGGGAATTTTCACACATTATTTGAAAATCAAATGAGAATGTTTTCTAAAATATGTTTTCTAAAATTTGTGTTTTACATTCATTTCCTAATCTATTAAGAATGTTAGTATTTTATCACAATGAAGTGGCAACTTTTGGCTTTTAGACTGTATCTATGATCAGAATATCATTAAAAAGCCATAATATGCAGTGCTATTCCAATGTGAATCAGAAATTGATCAAATAAGTGAATAATCATGAGGACAGAACATGGACTTTATAAAGTGATGAGGAATTAGCCAATTCAAGTTTAAAAAGTATTTTTAAAAAACCCTGCACTCATATACCTATTCACAGGAAGAATATCTAAGGTAAATTAGAAATTCTCCTACAGGGACATTAATCAGCTCAGAATCACCTAAAGAAATTAAAACACCAGCACAAACTACCCACAGCCTGTGATTCCTCAAGTACTCATAGCATGATAGTCAAACTGTCAAGTAAGGGCATGTGTCCCTTTGCAAAGTAATGCATTAGTTCCCCTCCCCAGGTCAACTTGGCAACTACACAAATCTTGCACAACATTGACTTCTGTGGGACCTGTTAGATGTTTGGTCGTGTCCTTTCAGATCCCAAAGAGGCTCACAATCAAATGCATCTTTTTATATCACGCTGAAGTTAAGAGAGAAGTGGTAGAAAAGTGCACAAACCTGAAATTAGTCCATATTTAGAAAACCCTCTGTGGGTTCAGCCATTTTACACAGACCTGATTTTGTCTCATTTCTCCACTGACTTAAAAATAGAAAAAAAAATGCAAATTTCTTGACAATTTTGAAGCTGTGGTAGAAACCTTGCAGGCTTTGTCCATCAGAGAGACTTTCACCATTAAAAGCGCAGATAAGGAATAACAAAACATTATACTGGAGTCAGCTTGCAATAGTTTGTGCTTTTAAAACATAGTGGCTAACAGTGCCAAGCTCATCATAAATGTTCAATAAATATTTGTTGACGTATTAAAAGTAGTAACATGGTTTCTGAAGAACCAACCTCCATTTTGCAACAAAGGCAAAACTACATAAATTTCTTTCACCTGACTGGATGTAGCAATGTGAAGCAATGAATGAGATCATCTACAAATTAAATATGAAGTCTAATTTGATTGCCGAGAGAAAATTACTAAGAACTTTGGGAAAAAAAACAAAAACCATTTTTGCCACAGTAGCATCAACACTTTAGTGCATCCAAGATCGAACGTTTCCACCACTGTATGTGCTCGTTCCTAAGCCAGTTAGGTACCAGCATGAAATGACTCGATTAGGAAATGCTTTCTTCTCCATTTTTGGGGAGGGAAGACCATAATTTCGCCTGGCAGTTATTAATACATTTCAGGAAGATGGCCCTCTTATTCAGCACGCCCCAAAGTAATGCAGGCATCAGCATTGGGAGCCTCCTTGTATAACTTCAGTACAGCATTGTCATGGGCAAGTGGATTCCCCTTGCACCTGCAGTAGCTGTTCTCTAGTGTAGAAAGTTTTCAGAGTTGTGATACCCCTGGGATGACGAGGACTAAAACATGGCAAATTAAAGATCACAAAACTTACACTAAAAAGGGACACTCCTCTATATTATATGAAAACCCCTTATAAAAGACAGTTAATTGACAAAAAAAATGCTTTATACATTCAGATTTTTCCCATCTCTCAACAGCGATGGTATCTAATGAAAAGACTCAGTAGTGAAGGCCACACACTTTTTTTGCATTAGTTTGATATGTTGAAAATCAGAACCTTTAAAGCATCTTGTAAATGGGAGAAATGGTATCGGACCTCAGTGGGAGTGGGGGGGTGGGCATGATGGGAGAGATCAAAATGAGTATGTGATGCAGCTGCTGATGTGCACAGCAAGGGAGCTGAAGGGAAATGGTACAGCAGACCTGACCACTCCACAAAGGGTCCATCAAGAACACAGTACAGGTATTAAAAAAAACAAAACCAAAAACCCAAAACAGAAACAAACTGCAGTTCTGCCAACTTGTAAACAAGGAAAAGCATTTCACAGATTCAAAGTTCAAGGGAAGTAAACGTCTTTAAATTATTTTTGTCAGTTCAACCCTGATTTAAAAGTATGGCTAGCAAAAATAAGGAAGCCGCACCCGCTGACATCCTGAGCAAGTCTTCTGAGGAGCAGTGCTTCCAAGCCTCTCTCTTCTCAAGATGCCACGTGAAGAGGAGACACCCCCTCACCAGAATTCCATCTCACTTCTCTCCTTTCCACACTCCTGGAATATTCATGGAATGCTTTACATTTTGGTGTTTACAGTCCTGGTTGCTAAAGATTTAGACGTGGGGAGACTGGAGGGGGGAAGGCAAATTCTCGAAGGATGCTACGAGCCACTTCGACATTATTCTGGGCTATCTCTAAGGCTCTCTTCACTTCTTCAAAGGCATAACCCTCTCCCATGAGTTTTGCGATTTTTGCATCGACATCTTCCAATGCTGCCTCGGGCCCGTGGGGTTTTCTGTGGTGAACTTCTGGTGCAGTCCTGCGGGGTCGCGGTTTAGGAGGTCTGGCTGGTGCTTGTGAACCATCTGTGTAGTTTTTAAGGAGAGATGTGATTAAATAAGATAAAATAAAGACATTGTAACAGTAGTATGATCTCATTTTATATGATAACACTAGTTTTCATTATCTCTAAAAATAAACTTTTTCCTTCATTTTTATATACTATTGTGTGTAAGTTATATTGTCTCCATTTTGAACGTAAGAAACTGAAGTAGAACTGGAAATTCAACTGAGAAATTGACACAAATTTATTCCCAATTCCACACAGTATTCTTGAAATCACATGAAATAAAAAAGACACAGAAAGAAGAAAAAATAAAACAATTGTCTGGAAAAGAAAGGCTTTTTCCTTTTGGCAGTACACCTCATCCTTCCCTACTATGGTGGAGGAACTTTCTTGGTAAGTTTCTACTGGAGAAACCCTGTTACAAGCTTGTAGGTGGACCCAGCAGACTGTCTCCACCAGATCCCCCATCCCACCCATGTCACAGCAGAACTGCTCTGAGAAACATGCTTGGAAAAGTCTCCAGCTCTCTGATTTTTCAATTTATTACTGCTGTGAAGTGATGGCTTACTGATGCTAGGGTGGGGGGGAAATACTAGATGCTCCGAGAGTCCTGTCAGTGGACAGGCTGAAGAGAAGCAAACTCGGTGCTTTGCTCGCATACTCTCTTCAGCATCCAGTGCGGGCAGGTTTGCCTGAGAAAAGCCAACAGTCCGTGGCCACATCACCCTGATCCCGCCTGAGCTCGGGAAGTTAAGCAGTGTCAGGCCAGGTGAGTAGCTGGACTGAACAAAAAGCAAAGGGAGCAAACACATTAGCCATGGAGAATTGGGTTCCAGATCAGTACCTTGAGATAACGGTTTCTCAAAGTTAAACCAAACAAATTGGTGCCCATGAATAGAGAGTAATTTTATTAAGAGAAAAAGAAAATGAATTACAGGCTGCCACCACATACAGATCACCAGAGCATGGGCTAGTAACTTGAGTAGGAGTTTTTTTTTATCGTGGATTCCCATATATTTGTATTTGATATGTTATTTCAAAAGCCTAGATTTTAAAACAGATTAAAATAAAAATGTTAAATTTATGCCACGAAACACATTTACTGATTGAAGACTATGCAGACATTAAAATATCTTTCTTTTAGACCACTGGCAAATGCAAATGATAAACAGTTAAGTAAAAGAGAAAGTGAGGCTAGAACCCAAATGCCTTATGACCCGTCCCGTCCAGTTCCTCCTGGTCTCTGCTGCCTTGCCAAGCTTTCCCAAAGGCTTCAGGGGATAGTGTAAGCTGGTATTTTTAATAATAGTCAAGTGTAAATCATAAAACTTTATGATGCATTATTTCATATTTTTCTTATAAGTACAATTTTCTATGAGAAGGTAACATATATAAACCATCATCCTAATCATAGTTCTAGCAATACCAATATAATATACATAAAAGAAAAGTCTCCAGGGTGAAAATATTTGATTGCACATCAAATTTTATGATAGTCTTATTTTTAATTTTTTCTTTCTCATAGGGTAATTTCCAGTTTGAAAACTATTATAGTCATAGGTAAAGCTTATTAAGTTTATGCTTATATACAAGAACACATTAATTTCTGGTTCTTGCTGAAGTCTGTACTGTTTCTTATATCTGTAATATCTTGAATTATTATCATCTGCTAAATTGCATTATTTACTGTTTTGAAGTTCCGTTTATTTTGCTATTAAAAATTTTCATTATATCATGTAGAGATGGACAATAAATTATATTTTGAATCCAATCTTTCCAAAAAAGATTATAAATTCTATTAAGTTTTCCTTTACTTTAATCAATCACCATAGAATTGATACATTTGCATTCTTTTCTAACCTGATGTAATTTTTCAGTAAGAAGAATTTTGTTAAGTCTAAATACCTTGTATTCTGGTAATTTTCTAAGAGGTTTTCTTTCTTTTCTTTTTTTATTTTTATTGCAGTATAGTTGACACAAAAAATTAGTTTTAGGTGTATAACATGGTGATTTGACATTAACATACACTACAAAATGATCATCACAATAAGACTACCTGTCACAATCTGTCACCATGGAAAGGTATTATGCTATTATTGACTATATTCTCTATACTGTACTTTACATTCCCATGATTTATTTTCTAACTAGAAGTTTATAACTTTAACCCCCTTATTCTACTTCACCCACCTCCCCTAATTCCTCCCTACCTCTGTTAACCAAGTTTGTTTCCTGTATCTGAGTCTGTTTCTATGTTGTTTTGTGTTTTTTTAATTCCACATGTAAGTGAAATCATAAGGTATTTGCCTTTCTCTGACTTACTTCACTTAACATTATATTTGCTAGGCCCATCCATGTTGTCACAAATGGCAATATTTCACTTTTTATGGCTGAGAAATATTTCAAAGTCTATATATACCACATCTTTTTTATCCATTCCTCTAGTGATGAACATTTAAGTTACTTCTATATCTTGTTTATTGTAAAGAATGGGGCAGTGAACATAAAGGCACACATATCTGGTGTTTGGTTTTCTTTGGATAAATTCCAGAGGTGGAATTGCTGAGTCATATGGTAGTTCTATTTTCAATTTTTTGAGACACTGCCATACTGTTTTCCATAGTGTCTGCACCAATTTACATTCCCACCAACAGTGCATTAGGGTTTCTTTTTCTCTACATCCTTGCCAGTACTTGTGATTTCTTGTCTTTTTCATACTAGCCATCCTGAGAGGTGTGAGGTGGTATCTCACTGTGGTTTTGATTTGCATTTCCCTTAAGATTAGTGATGTTGAGCATCATTTCAGGTGCCTGTTGGCCATCTGTATGTCTTCTTTGGAAAAATATCCTCTCAGGTCCTTTGCCCATTTTTTAATCAGATTTTTT